GGGTCATAAGTGCATACATTTTGTGAGATAAGCGTCAAATACTATCACGCTTGTCCGAGCGTTCATGGCAATGAACCTTCCTACCAACTTTGAAATTAATCCATTCAAAATTACTCAAGTTATTGTGCGGAAACTGTTTCGGCAATTCTACAAAGGACCATAACACCGTAAATAACCAGCGAATAGTGTTGGTTATGCCAAGCTTTCATAGAAATGAACCTTCTTACGAAGTTTGAAATGAATCCATTCAAAATTACTCAAGTTATTGAGCGGAAACTGTTTCTGCAATTCTACAAAGGGCCAAAACTCCGTAAATAACCAGCGAATAATTTTGGTTATCGAACTTGTCCGAGCTTTCATAGCAATGGACCATTCTATTAAGTTTGAAATGAATCCATTTAAAATTACTGAAGCTATTTAGCGGAAACTGTTTCGGCAATTCTTCAAAGGGCAATAACTGGTAAATAATTTTGGTTATCGAACTTGTCCGAGATTTTATAGCAATGAACCTTACTATGAAGTTTGAAATTAGTCCATTCAAAATTACTCAAGTTATTGAGCGGAAACTGTTTCGGCAATTCTACAAAATGGCCATAACTCCGGAAATAACTAGCAAATAACTTTGGTTATCGAACTTGCCCGAGCTGTCATGGTAATGAATCTTCCTATGAAGTTTGATTAAGTTTGAAATTAGTCCATTCAAAATTACTCAAGTTATTGAGCGGAAACTGTTTCGGCAATTCTACAAAATGGCCATAACTCCGGAAATAACTAGCAAATAACTTTGGTTATCGAACTTGCCCGAGCTGTCATGGTAATGAATCTTCCTATTAAGTTTGATTAAGTTTGAAATTAATCCATTCATAATTACTCAAGTTATTGAGCGGAAAATTAATGTGTGCCCAAACGCCCGCCCACCCGCGTGAAAACATAAACATAATCCGGGGGGGGACTTAATCACTTAATCACAATTTCCACTTTCTGTTCCCGGGGATTATAGTTCGTTTGCCCTCAGGACTTTTACACTAGTAAAGATGTGAAACTTTACAATACCAAATACTATAATATGTGTCAAGCAATCTGTCTTCTCAATTGCCAATATCTGGGTGTTTTGATATACACAGGTGAAATACAAGGTGATACCAAAATAGTCCTTGATTACGAGCAAAGCAATAACCATTAAAATATATATCTTGCAGAACTTATTTAGCAACGTAAGATTTTCCTTATTGCTTTACTGTTAGTTGTAGCACATATATATTAACATGATTGGACAATATATATTGTGTATGCCTAATTACAGGTTAAACACGATTCTTTCATAATATAGTAGTGAGCACTTCAATTTTACAGATAACTGGATTATGGAATCTATTTACCGTATATTAATTCATTCATCCCCTTTATTTAAAATCTACCGTGGGACACGCCAAGATCCATTTGTTGTTCGCACTGTAACCTTATGAACCCCTCCCCCTAGCCTGCCACCCTTCCAAAGGTGTGGAATAGTTGACAAGATTTATTTAGATGTTCGTACCATTTAATTATAATGTTAGCACCATGTCCGTAATGAACGTATCGGTCATACATTTATATCCTTCCTGGGCGATATAAAGGTGTATCAAGTGAATATCCCGTCTTATATCAGATAATATTTAAACAGGAAGGTAAATTTCAATATGGTGTTAATTCGGCCAATATTATATGATGTGATGCTTGTGAGTCTTCTGATAACCAGAGGTGTCAGTTCCAGGGACCCCTCTTGCTCCCAAGCAGAAATTCGCCACTAGAACCCCGGTATAGACGCGTGCCATCGACATGCCTTGATTCGTCTGCTGGATAACCGAACTACTCGATAGTGAAGCGGACATAAATCCTAAAATGCTTGAAAGCAGTTCGTTTAAGCGGAACAACCGATTCGTCCGTTTTTAAATGTTTTTAAATGTTTGTCTGTCTTAGCAGTTGAAAAACTCAACAGCAATGTATAGCTTAGACATATTTTTTGTCACTAAAATGGACCTAATCGCCTGGTCATTTCAATATTCTGTCGTTTATAAAGCCATATTCAATCCGGTTTACTTAGTGTAGACCGTGGTTTACTCCGTAACGACGGATCCTATACTCCGGAATCCGTACACGCCGAATCATTTCGAAAAGTTACTCCGTTCAAACTGAGTTATATTATGTTATGAACGAAAACGACACGGACCTACATATTTTCAAATACTGAACACAAAATACAACAAAGTTTTAATTCGAAGTATAATACACATTAGAAGATAAACAGTGTTCATATGACAAGATCACGATACTATCACAATTGACAGCAAAGACGATACAAAACAATAACAAGGATGATACACAACAATGACGGGAGAAACCGGATCATCATTGTTATTGTTTTGTATCCTCTTTGCTGTCAATTCTTGTATCTTCTTATTTTACTACTATGTATATGTACATATAACTGTTCTGTTTCACTGTGTCTTGATAAAGGAGCGGATCGCTTCGAAAATTTGACAACCTTAACTTGTCCACACTGTTGGAATTACTTCTTTGCCCCATATACTATTTTAAGTAATTCGTATCCTACGGACATACCTCCATTAGGATCCAGTGTTATATGGGATTTTACAGTCTATATTACCTCTTTCACTCATATATCATATATATATATATATATTGGTGCAACTTATTCACAATTCAGACTCCACATGGTAAATTTTCAAAGCTCCTTTTTTCCCTTAATAAAATGTGACACAAACTTTTGTCCCAGCATTATAAACCATGCTTAAAATAAAATAGTTTGTTTGAATGTCAAAAAGGTTTGCTATTATATGTTATTATCTTTCAAAATTGATGTGTTGTCAGTTTTTGTTACTCAATTAGACAATATATGTATAGGTATATATAGTATCATTACTATTTATGTGAGAAAGTTGGAACATGTTTTATATAAACCACATTAGATAGATCCAAGAGCCTGCAACATAAACTTTTACTTTCCGTCCCTCCGTCCGAGAAGTTTGTCCGGAACATTTCTTCTATACTATTTCACCTGGAGTAATCAGATTTGGTGTACAAGAACATCTTGGATTGGCGGGGTGTAAAGTGCAAGAAGAAGGTCGCTATGACCTCACTGTGACCTATGCTTTGACCGTAACTTTTGAAAAAACCCTTCTCCGGAGCATATTTTCAATACTATTTCACTTGGAGTAAGCAGATTTGGTGAACAAAAACATTTAAGGATGGCGCAGTGCAGAGTGCAAGAATTATGTCACTGTGACCTATGATTTGACCTTTGACCTTTACTTTTGCAAAAGTTTTTTCCGGGCATATTTTCTATACTTTTTCACCTGGGTTATCCAGATTTGGTGTACAAAAACATTTTAGGATGCCGCAGTGTCTATTTTCAGGATACTTTCATAACAGAAGGTAAATATCCAAACACAACTGTACTGTTAAATATAAAAACCATTACCGGTAGGGGACTATGGATTTCCTTGCAACATTTTTCCTTGTGTTTTTTTTCTAGTCAAATAACATTTTCCTGGAGCTTTGGAGGGTCAAAAACATATGAAATTGACATGTAAATTCAACTTAAGCCAAAGATTCTAAAGATGAACTTTTGGAGTGACAAAAAAATACTTCTCGAGGATCAACTAAAGCCCGACATATATATTCATGGCATTGTACTTATTGTGTGTACACAACTGAATGAAAACTTTCAAACGAAAATTTAGCTGTTTTTTATTACTTACAGGTGACATAAGTATGAAAAATTTAGATTTTGTATGTAACAAGCTAAAGCTTGAGTTGTGATGTACAAATTTATATTATAATTCAATGTTAACTGATAACAATCAACTGGCTATTTGATTTAAAAGAGAATTCTTCTGGTGTTGAACTGTGTATTAAATTTGGAAGGTTTTGACCCACTTTTCTTCTTTGGCATGCTGAAATTAGGAAATATCACAATGATTTTTTGTCAATATTTAGAGCCGTAAAAATACACTTTATAGATCATCAATGCGATTGAAATCTTTAAGTGTACATGATAATATACCAGATTAAAATTATGTAAACACATTATTACATATTTATCATTGATTACCGAGAGTTAATGGTATATATGAACCCAACCGCGATCGATGATCTAAGGCTTAATGGCGGCCATTATTAAAAACGCCGATCAGCAATCGTTTTAAGAATACAAATACTACATTTTCAGAGCTATGGATTCACTTGAAAACCAGATATCAAAAAGCAATTGTGTTTAGTGCGTTTGTGTAATAATCTATGTGTTAGCAAATCTTTTCCTCTTCTGTAATTCCGTGATATAACACGGCTTTATGAGTTTAGTTACGGACTTAGAATATAAATATCTTTTGGGTAGTAACTATAGATGTATTGCGGCACTAATCCCGTTTGTATTTTTGTTTGTTCGAGTAGTTTTACGTTCGCTTCACTAGGAGTAATTTGGTTATCCATCAGCCGAATACCACTAGTACCGTTCCGTGAAAGCGGCTGTATAGTTCGATCGTTCGATCAGTGTATCGGTCGAAAGTGGCACGACCAGGTATCAGTTTATCGGTCGGTAGCGGGGCGATAACCTCGCTCCGTTCGGAAAGCGGCCGTTCTGGCAGCGTTAGGCCCAATCGGTAATATCGGTTCTATCGGTTGGCTCGCGTTCGCACTGAGTTCGTCCTGCGATTGCATGGCGTCTTTTCTCCGTTTGTTCAGCGTGCGTCTTGCGTTTGTACCAGAAACAAGTGTATACTTAGCCGTAATTCTAACTGTATGTGCTTTTGTATTTATTGTTCGGAAGGGTTTATTTCCGTAAGGTTTCAAGTCATAACTACCATGATGAGTAAACACAAAACCGACGTTAGATAATCTTCAATAATTAATTACAACATAAAACCCCTTCTTCATATAACTATTTCGTGGTTTTTAGTATACATTTTTACCTAAAACACGTAGAAGTATTTTGTACTCACTTTTCACCATCGGGAGACTTTAAATCACATGTATCACCACCTGCCATCACTCTACAATGTATACGGATCAAGTATTGATAAAAGAAACACAAGAAAGCGGCCAATGCAATTCTGTTTTACAATTATTAGAACTGAAACTTTTATCGATTAATTTATCAGCGTCGTGCGTAATAACGAATAACCAGAAACGTACCTTGATATTTCGTTTGAGTTTCCATTTGTACTCGCATTTAAGCCGTACTTTGAGGTGAATATTCGTCCTTTCAGTGTCAGCAATGATCCTATAGATAACCAAATATACAATGACATAAAATAATGGAGATATGGTTTACAGTGTAAGATTGTGTGAGTGAAAGGCCCGATTTGTTAACAAACTGGGACATGTGATATTCTAAATATGTTTTTGTCTGTTACAATTTTGTGTCGTTGATTCGGTTTAATCTATTTACCACCCTTTTCATTGCTATGCCCGTTTAAAGTTGTGTCTCAATGTGTGCTTGAAAAGATTGAATGTGTGTGTTTGTTAATGTTATTGATGCTAAACATACAGCAAGGAAGAACTGAACAAACAATTAAATTATAGATGTTTTAACCATATTTCATGATAAAGAAAGCATCTCAACTAGCAATAAAACAAATTATAAAACTATTTTTTATCATTTTTTGTTTTTGAAATAACTGTTACATTCATTCATTTCTTTTTTTCATTATCCTAAATCGTGTTAATAGTTTTCATTGTAAATGTGTCTAGGATGGATCCGTTAACAAAAATATGACTATCTAATATTTTTTGCTTTACTTAGTCATTGTTTCTGTTAGTAATTTAGAAATAAAGTAAGTGAAAAATCAAGAGGCCCATTGGTTGCCTGCATTGCTCACTTGGTATAGACCTCACACTTGTAACCTTAAAAGTGGACTAAAAAAGCTACAGGCAAGCTATTAGTATATATAAGTAAGTCAAACAATAGGACCTTTTAAAAGATTTGAACATCTCTGAACCCAGTGACCTTGAATATGTAAAGGTAAAGTTCATTCATTTGAAAAACGTATATCCCTTTCCTTCTACGTCATCACCCTGGTCCATTTTTTTTATTCAAAAGAAGTTGTTTATAGGTTTAAAACATATTTGACCCCTGTGCCATTGAATATTGGTGAAGGTCATTTGTTTTAATAAACTTACTATCCTGCTTGCGTCTGGCCAAATATCATAACTGTGGGCAAAATAAGTTTTTAAAATTCTTTCTTAGAAAATATCATATTTGATCCCTGTGCAATTAAACACGGGTTTTTTTAATTGTATTTTTACCCCTATGACCGTAAACATATGTTATTCGTTCACTTGAACAAACTTGGTAGCCTTTCATCCGAGCATGTTAATGGCTAAATAACATCATTCAGGGCCTTCGGGTTATTCAGAAGAAGTTGTTAGCTCACCTGACCCAAAGGGCTAAGTGAGTTTTATGCCATGGTGTCCGTTGTCCGTCCGTCAAAATTTTACTTTAAACAATTTCTCCATAACCAAGATGCCTTGTGTGATTATATTTGGGCTTTACTTTCAATCAGAATGTTATTTTTTATTTGATAATGAATTTGAACTGCAGCAAAATGTCAATTATCATTAGTCGAGGAACACAATATGTACGCGAAAACATTGCTTTTGACCCCGTGCATGTCGTAAGAAAAGACTTCCTGCTTGATCAAGAACATTGTTTCGAAAAATGAGGCAATACCCTTGGTACATAACAAGGAAAAGTAGTCGCTTGCAGTACCAAACGGGCTCCATCAAATATACAATGACTTGTGTTCTACTTTCAAAAACAGATATTGTTGATATATTTATCACTCTATAAATACTTAATTTAATACCTACCGGGTGGACCTGACGAAGGTGTTATGGCACTGACGGTTGGTGTCGATGTCAAAGATGGCTATATTAGGATTAAATTAAGAAAAATAAATGAATTGTCGCCCCTTTAAAATCCCGACACATTCAGTACCTTCAGTATAATTCAATTTAAAGAAAAGCATTTGTGTTCTAGATAAACGTTTCAAACTTTCTGATTAAATCGATGCACATCCTCCTAAATGCATTATTTCCCCAGACAATTAGGATTAAACATATTGCATGTACCTGGAATTGGCAGTCACTTGATGATCGACATTCATTTGGTATATCAGTTCCATCCACAGTCACCTTGACATCATAATTATCCTGTCCCATTCCGGATCTAGCAATGTAGTGTATATCCAATATTATATTCATGAGTCAAGTGATGGTTCCGCCGTTTATTGGTATTGTTAATTTAAGTTTCCCATTACACTTCGAACCTCATATGGGTACTATTTATATACAGTTAAATCAAACTTGTAATCCAGCGATTTTACGATTTGTCAATGGGATTCAATTTTCAAATTACAAAAGTGTCTGTGCTTTGCCTTTGCCCAACACAAATAAATAAATAAAATGAAATTGTTTGTTCGAACAGAACCTGTACTTTCCAAATAGACCATTAAAATGACTTTAAAAATATATGATTCTGTGTCTCTATGTTTTAAATATAAACAGTTGTTCCAGGTCTCAAGTATGCTGTGACAAATGGACGAGGAAGAGGCTCTGTAAAACCTGAGAAAGATGGGAATCAAACCCGAGGTAATGACAAAAAATTGTTCATAGTAAGTATATTTACAAAGAGATTACTGACAGAGGATGATACTCTCGTTGTCTGGTCGGGTATTCATGATCACATTTGACGTGTAGTATTTTCATATTGAAGTTGTTGTGCGTGACAAAGCAAAATTGCATTTTTAGTAGGACTATTATTATTAGGGTTTTATTTGATTCGACGATTACCCTTCGAATTAAGCAGTGAACCCTCAACATTCAAACGAATTATCGAGATTTGTAAGGGAGATAAAACATCTTTTTAATGTTATATTTTCTTCGATGATATGATGTTATTCTCTAAAACATATGACGAGGAGTTTGAAAGATGGGTTGGTATGTTAAAAAAGTAAAACGTTTATCATTATATAGTGCGTGCACGATTAATGTAAGCACTGTATTCTAGTTTAGAGTCCTTGCATCTGTATATACTAATTAACGGTTCTTACAGGGACTTAGTGGGGGATATTCGATGCTCTAAAGTCATTAGGGTAATGTCAATGCAGGAGATGTGGGTTTTTTAGTTTCACAGGGTAGTAAAGAAAGGTGGTAAAAGAATATGCATAAATAAACCAGACACCTATTGTAAATGATGTGTTGGTAGGTCACTAAACAATCAAAATGAAGGCAAATTTAAAGACTAAAAATCCATAGATTGGAGCAATGATGTGAAATAATTGGCTTGTTTGGGGTAAACGCCCTCGCAACAGCTAAGTTCATATGAACACGGGTGCCTAGGGTGAAGATGCCGAAAAGAAAGACCAGAAAATAGGGGAATACAACATAAATATCCTAAACGTTTTTTTCAATGGGGGGCAGTAGATCAATTTTAGTTTTGTATGCCCCCCCCCCCCATTTTTGCTATGGTCCCATTGTTGTTGCCTCTTAAAGGCGGCCTTTTCGTTTCCCGTACCTGCATAGTATTTGTCAAAAGCTTTTGATAAGCTGAACTTCAAACAAATGCCAATAATAACAGATCAGCCAAGGTTCCGTGCTGTGTAAGAAAAAAGTATGGTCGGGATAGGGTGATAGCGTATGCGAGTCAAGGATTAAGGCATATCAAACAAAAGTAGCCAACACACAAGGTAGGCTCTTAATGTCTCACAGGAGCATTCACAAACAAATTTATAGATTGTCTATACGGCCTTCACCTTGAGGTCGATAACGATAAGTATCTGCTAACTTGTGTTAATTAATCACAGCCATTTCTGGTTTGCAAAATTGGCAATCTACACATTCAAAATCATTTACAATTCATGCTAATCTAACAAAGATACATGTGAGTTATCCAGGAAACCAGGTCAAACCGAGAACTAATTTCTAATTGAGTTAAAGCTGCAAATCTGACAGTAAAAGTTGTAGCAGAGAGCTTGTCGGTTACAAACTCTATACAAAGAATAGGTACAGAGTTAGGCTAAGACTTTCTTCGTCAATGACAAGTAGATTGGGACATTTAATAGGGATATGATGCTGACATGCAATGAGTGATGCATTTTCAGGTTTCAGATAATCATGTTAGCATTTGGATAGAGAGTAGATGAAGGTAGCAGTCAGGAAGTTGGTTCGAGAATGGAACTGGCTAGTGTTCGAAAATATAATATTGTATAAATATTGTAGATAAGACAGTGTTGAAACAGAATGTTTTGATACAACGTTAGAGCCACCAGGGTAGCATATCCCCTCGAAAGGTCACATGCCGGATAAACTATTGACCCATCATGGGTTTGTGTTCGGGAAGGGCAGGAAGCACAAATTTGTGCACAAATCTGTACCATCTGTTTTACAACAATTCTTAATGGTCATGCTACCCATTCTCTACACATGAAAAGCTGATTAATGTACAATCATATTATTATACACGCAAGTTACATTAAAGATCAGGGAAGTAAAACCTACCTTGTGATGCAGACAATGCGTGATGTGTCTGTTTTTTCAACGATGACGTCACATGGAAACACATAATGTTTGCTCACAAAAAATACCTTGTTACCAAGGTGTTCTGTTCCCGGGAAATGGTTAAATTGGTTACTAGAAAATCCTCGTCCCGAAACAGTGATTTGTGTACCGCCCTGTAGACTGCCTTTTCTAGGATTGATTGCAGTAATGTGGCCTGGAAGATAAGCATACATATATTTTAACCTATAAAACGAATATATATTCACAAACATCATGCGACCAATCGTGACCCACCTGATTGGGTCGGCATTGTCTGCATCGTTGCTTTGGTTCATTAAAAAGATTTTCAAGATGAAGCTGTATACTGTACACGTCCATTTTACATTAGTAAATGTCCACGTCCTTAAATGTGAAACATTTTTCAATACTACGAGGCACGGTAGTCTAGTGGTAGGAGGCCGGGCTCATGACTGAAGGATTGCGAGTCACGGCACGACACGACACGGCACTGTGTTGTATCTATGAGCAAAATATTTTACTCCGCTTGTTCCAGTCTACTTAGCTGTAAAACAGTACGTGGTTGGGCAGTACTATAATTGTAGAATGCTAGCTGTGAGCGCCGAAATGGCAGCACCGGCTGTATGCTTCCCGGGGAATTGAGGGAGATATTAGCTGCTTGCAAAGGCCCGCTTTGAGACAGCCTACGAGCGAGGCTGAGATAAAGCGGTATATAAGAACCTCGGATTATTATTATTATAATATCTTTTGATAAGCACAATGAACACAGTGACAGTAAAACTCGGTCATGTTATACTTTGTGACCAATTTAAGCACAGGTTTCTGAAAGATCATGCTCAACATACGTTCAAAATGACAACATCTTCAGCATAGATAAGTGGAAGACCTCGGAGGTCAACATTTATTTAAAATATCCCAATATTTATATAAAACCATGGAGCGGCAAATAAACTGAGGTAAATATTACTGATTATGGAAAGTTAACGAGCGTCATCATCGGCTTAAGTAGCTGAATCAGATAAATGTGTGAACAGACAATTACCAATGCAGCTAACAGAAAGGTCTTCTCCATGCCCACAGTCTTGTCTTCCCCAGCCATTAAATCTACAGTTTTCGATGGACAACTCAAAACCACTACATCTGACATCGTCCATCCAGATGGGTCCGGTGCCGGCTCCGAACAATGCACTTCCCAATACAAATCCGACGTTGCTATAAGAAACGAACAAATTTCCAAAACTAAAGAAAATTAGGATACAGAACAAGTTATTAATTGATACACTGATTCGTCCCTAATATCGACTCATGTCATTGGACATAGTTTATTCATTATAAGAAATGCTGCTACTCTAGTACAACGATGTTTATTTTAAGTCAAGTAATCATGAAATCAATACAATTAAATAAACAAAAAATAACTCGTGCATGTCTGAGAAAAGAATATGCCTGCTCTGTTCTATCCCCCTGCAATATCGTAAGGGGAGACTTATATGCCCCCTGCATAATCCAGGGTGTTTTATTCCTTGTCCATTGTTCATAAAGCTTTTTAAACAATCTGGTGATACACATACAAGTTGTGTTGGATTCGGATTTTTTTTTATTGTTTACTCAACGATCTGATAATAACAGGTATAACTGCGCTTTTATGGGTTTTACTTCATGAAAAATGATTAAATTTAGTTGCAATATATTAAAATTATAAATAGTAAGCGAGTAGTAGATGACGATCTGACTACGGAATTAAACAATTTGCTGGTCATAATGCTATTATCGCAATAGATAAACTGCAATGAAGGAATGTGAGATATTGAAAAAAATGACAGATGTAAATCAAGCTTAATCAAATTAAGATTCAAGCTACTAACATAATACTAAATTGGGTTCGTATTAGTTACATAAATAACGCTTTTGCTAACACTACTGTAGGCTGCTACTTTTCTTTTGCCGTCGTCAATAATTCTCTTCAGCTGTGGTGCATTTGATATTCTTCCACGGAACTGTGCATTAAATTGATCGCATCTGATTTGAATAACAAACAGTAAACATGATGGCTCTTGTTATCTGGTGCGGTCAAATATTTTTTTTGCCGAATAACCGACATTATTGTTGAATTGATAAACAGTTCACTTTTTGAAAATTGAATAAAACATGTTTGAAATTATTATGGATCGATTTCTATTTAAAAATGCAAAAATGCATAATGTAATTTTTAATAAACAAAGTATTTTTTGTCGGCATCAGATCCGCGCCACCACAAGGAGGCAAATACACCAACATACCCTGCCTCCTGCACACACACACACACACACACACACACACACTCATACAAAACACACATATATGTACGTCTTTTAATGACCTTAACTGTTAATAGGACGTTAAAAAACATCAAACAATCATTTTTATCGCATAAAATCAGAAAGATATAGACCAACGATTTCAAACAGTCTTTTTCTACTAACATGTCTTTGACAATATTCCTGAAGCATCGCTCAGCCGTGTTGTTTTTATTCAATCTATCTTGTTTACCTGTTGTATCCAAGTTGCCTGCACACGACCTTGGCTAGGTAATTGGTGGCCCCGTCATCACAAACAGTTCCCCAAACACCGCCATGGTATACCTCTAATCGGCCAAAATGTTTTGATGAACTGCCGACGAGCCGAACAGGCGTTAACTGGGCTAGAAAAAAAGATCAAGAGAAACTGTTGTCACTAATTGCCATATGTGTAACATTTGGATTCTGGGGGTTAACTCCCTCGAAACATATAAGGAGTGATACCTAGAGAGACACCGCCTGAAACAGAAAAATAGAAAGAAAAGAAAGGAGACAGGAAAATGATACGAAGTGTTGCAATGTGGGCAGTAGATCAATCTTTGTAGAAGACACGGAAGAAAAACCCCGATGCTGAAAGGGGCTATATTAGTTGCCTCTTTCGCAGTAGGATACAGCGGGCCTCTCTGAAGTCGTGGTATTGCTTACCTAAATGTAACATCATTAAGAAATAAAATAGATAATATAGAAACTGAATTAAAGAAAATGGCCCAATGGGCCTGCATCCCTCACTTGGTATTAATTTCACTTAAAATTGTAAGCCAGTGGCAAAGTATCAGTATTTATGAATAAAAGTCATTCAAAAGATCATGTTAAAATATTTTAATTTTTTAACCCCTGTTAAATTGAAAGTCAAACAAGTGCATTTCGTTGAACAAACTTTATAGCCCTTCATCTCAGAATGTAACTTACAAAATATCACCATCCTAGACCTTTTGTTTATTGAGATTAGGTCATTTAAATGTTTATACATATTTGACTAAATGTGACCTTGAGTCAAATGAAAATTTTGATAGCCCATCATCCAAGCACGCTTTTTTTCAGAAGAAGTCGTTTAAAGTGGTTTTTTTTACATATTTGACCCAGGTGACCTTGAATAAATGTCAGGTTATTCATTTTAACAGACTTGGTAGCCCGTCATCCTAGTTTGCTACTGGCTCAATATCAGCATCCAATGGTTATTCAAAAAGAGTCGTTTAAAGATTTTGATATATTTGACCCCTGTAAACTTGAATATAAGTCAAGCTAATATATTCTAACAAACTTGGTAGCCCTTCATCCAGGCATGATCATGACAAAATATCAACATCCTTGTCCTTTTGATTGTTAAGAAGAAGTTTTTTAAAGTTCTTTTTTCGGACAATTGACTTATGTGAACAAACGTGGTAGCCCTTCATCCCAGCATGCTACTGGCCAGATATCATAACCCTGGGCATTTTGGTTATTCAGGAGAAGTCGTTTAAAGTGTTTAACATATTTGACCTCTTTGACCTTGAAAATCGGTGAAGGTCATTTATTTGAACAATCTGGGTAGCCCTTCATTTCAGATTGCTTCTGGCCAAATATCATCATCCTAAGCCTTGTGGTTATTAAGAAGGAGTTGCTTGAAGTAAAATATTTACGCCGGACGACAGACGGACGGACCCTTCGCCACAGAATACATGAAGATCGCTTCGGACCAGGTGAGCTAATAATAATAAAAAAAATAAAAATAAATTGTCTAACAGATATTCTAACACGCTTCGTTTGCAACGCGTGTTTTGATTGGATACGGACCATAATCTGATCTGTGATAGAATTATGATCAATCGTGTTAAGCTCCTCCCATCGCACTAAAGTCACGCCCCGTTGCCAACCAAAACAATATGGCAACAAGCTCGCCTCTTAGCGAATTCCACTAATAAGGTTAGCAGGCAACAGAATAGAAACGACCGATGAAAAGTATTTGTTGAATTTATTAAAAAGTAAAAAGTAAACATTCCTTGTTCTTACTTCCATTTATTACTGAAACGTTCGTTCCATCCTAGTGAAGACATATAGCTAGATCCGAAATCCAATGAAACATTCCACATGTGTCGTATGAATTTACACAAAACTCTTCACGAATCTATACAAATAATAGCCAATTTTTTCGGTAAGCAAAGATTGGTATGCGTATTGGCATAGCAATGTAAGAACTTGGTCAATACAGTGACGTGTTATACAATATTAATCCAAACATTGGTAACGGGACGTTCACGAACAATCCAAATATTCCGCCTCTTCAACATACAGATCGAGCTTTCGCCAGTATGGGCGGTGCCAAATGACCGACTTTTGAAAGCTTCTTTCCGATTGGTCAGTCCGCTGCAGAATGACATGTCGCCAGTTCAGGTCACAAATTGATTTACTACGTACTTCTTGAACAAGAAAATAAAATGTTTCTAAACATATCAGCGTAGTATATTTGTTAAGGTGTGTTAGAATGGGAATAGTGCGTTCGGTCTCGAGTTCAAACCAAAATTTCATGTTCTAATCGCCAGTATAGACACTCAAAACAACTTACTATCCCCTAACTGTATCAGGTTCTGTTATCACCATTGATTTCTACGCACATGCCAGAATGGACAGAAGATCAGACTCTGGTGGCGGAGTTCTAATTTATCACAAAAACGCCATTTTTTTTATAAAAGGCGAACAGATTTGGGTTGAAGTATGTGTTGAGTCTCGTAAATTTCTACTATGTTGTATTTTAATATAGACCAGACATGCTTGTCACTTATTGGAAATCGCTAGACTTTGTATTTCTGAGAGCTATAAATACTTGTCTAAATATAGTCATAACAGGTGATATAAATGTAAATATGATTAACTTA